TGCGTGCATCATCTATTGCTACTGTCAGCGCAATTTGAAGAAACAGCGGGCCATTAATATTACTGAACGGTATATAAACTTTTAAAAATGAAGTTCGTTCGAGAAGAGTTCTATTTTTATTTCCCGAGCTTCATTAAATAGGGTTCTCTCCATCAATATGTCATCTGCTAAGCCAGTTATGCAAGAAGGCATCGCTTGTAGCATGAACAGCACGGGCTCTCATTTATATAACGATAACTAGTTATCTGTGTTAAGATGTAAAGCTAGGGACCAAAGATGTGATAGTAATCCATAATCTTGATTCCTATTTCAATCCGGAACTCAATGACCAACAAGGCTGATCACCAATCCCTTTGAATTTTGCTGTTCACGCGTCAGAGTGGCGTATTTCACATCGTACTCGTCTTCGAACTAATTACCTCACTACCAGAATAGGTTTTCATTAGATATGCCTATGGATAGAGGTATGTACGTTGGCACTGCTGTAATGTTGTGCAGTTGCTAAAACGCAACGAAAACGTGGCCTGCTTCGAAGCGAAATGACAGGAAGTATAATGTTATCAATATTCTGAACTAATCATAGCAAACAGAAACAAATATCGTAATTCTGAACCTACATGCGGTGGGCTACTAAGCTTACACACATACACAACCCCAGCGCGGTTGATACTAGTACATCACATCTTTTCAAAATGACATTAAATTTGCAGTGTTCGTCATCAGTTGGAATTTTACCATCAAAATCACAATAGGCATATTACACAAATCCATAAATCGAAAAATTAAATATATGTAACATGAAACAAGAAATAAGGAATGATGATGCATATATTTTAGGACGTGAAGCGCTTCAAAAATGGGTTCTTATTTCTGCTAATCAGCTATCCGCGCGAAAACATTACAGCATGCATTAAAGTATTAAGTCGATGAACTAGAATCAATACCTCAGCGCCAAAATAATTCCAAAAATCTTCGGTACTGAGTACTTTCGAGACTACAAGTTCTTTGTACAGCGATAAAAGAGTCTTATTGCTCTGAAGCACCCTGAAAAAATAACGTGGTCAAATGAGACACGTAACTGAACCAATGCAGGAAAGACTAGGGTATCATTAATTAATTAAATGTGAAGAAAAAACATCAATCTGATTTCACGACAGTTCAGAACAGTTCAACGCTAGACGGCTATATCTTCCCGAAGATGGAGCATCTAGTGATGATGGTCATACAAAAAACAAAACATACAATACACAACGAAAATACTTGAGTTAATCGGATTATGGACTAGTAAAGACGTCTAGGCCCGTATTTCATCAGGATCGTCTTCCAGGAAAAACATGAACGAGCTTCGAA